TGCTTACAAAGTTCATGTGCATTGTGTTTTACACTAGCCTTCATTCACTTTGTGTTACTTGTATGAATTTGGACACATTATTTGCTTCTTTGTGCCTTGTTTTCATCAGCTGTAAAATGGACACAATTGTACTCAGATTATAAATTGTTAGATTAGAGATAATGGATGTCCAACATCCATCATGATGTTTTGTGAATGTTGACTGGGGAAGCAGGGTGCTAGGGATTAAATTGTCTCTCCAGAAGACATTTTGTAATCCTAACTCCCATACCTGTGGCTGTAAAGCTGTTAGAAAATATGTTTTTCTTTCTTCTACTGATTATATCAAACCTGGTCAAATAGGTTCTAAATCTAATCAATTCTAAGTTACAGAAGTTGCAGGTCTAACGGAGAGACACTTACACAGGGGAGGGCTGATGCTTTGACAGAAACCAACGAGCACCCAGAGCTAATGAAAGAAAGCAAATGGTACAATCCAGACCTGAATTTAGAAGCTTAGCCTCTAGAAAGGTGAAAAATTAAATTAAACTCTTTTCTTTTAATTTTCAGGAAAGTTTACAGAGACTTAGGGTTTCCAATCATTTCTTGTTGCATTTTTCTCCCTGCAGGCCCCCTCCCTCCTAATTCACTCTTCTCCTTGAAAAGTAAAAGAAAAACTCTTTCATTGTTATGCAATCCCTCCCCCCAAGTCCACTCCACCATACAGCCTTCATTCTGGACTCCTGTCATGACAATAATACCCAATCATATATCCCTTTTAAACAGTTCTCTCTCTCATCTGTTCAATGCAGTATACCTCATTCCTCCCCTCCTTCTCGGCTTTTCCTCAACCGCAATGTCAGTCCCGTTTTACAACAGTGGCCCTATGTAATATTTATCCTTTTGTGACTGAGATATTTCACTCAGCATAATGTCCTCCAGGGTCATCCATTTTGCATATTTCATGAGTTCTTTGTTTTTCAAGGCTGCATAGTATTCCATTGTGTGAATATACCACAGCTTCTCTATCCATTCGTTTGTTAATGGCACTTGGGTTATTTCCAGCGCTTTGCTATTGTGAACAAAGCAGCGAATGAGCATGAGTGTGCATATACGTGCTTGGATGGCGGTTATGGTATATTTAGGATATATTCCCAGTAATGGAATTTCTGGGTCAAATGGTATCTCTATTTTCAACTTTTTGAGAAAGAGCCATATAGCCTTCCACAGTGGTTGCACCATTTACACTCCCACCAACAGTGAATAAGGGTTCCAGTTTCTCTGCAACCTCGCCAGCATCTGTTGTTTGCTGTTCTGTTAAATTTTGCTATTCTGACTGGGGTGAGATGATATCTCATAGTTGTTTTGATTTGCATCTCTCTTAGAGCTAGGGATTTTGAACATGTCTTTATGGGTTTATTTGCCATCTAAATATCTTCTTTGGTGAAGTGCCTGTGCCCATTTTTCAATTGGATTATTTACCTTTATCTTGTTGTGGTGCCCGAGTATTTTATAAATTATACTTATAAGTCTCTTGTCTGATATGTCATTACCAAACATTTTTCCCCAGTCGGTGGCTTTCCTTTTTTCCTGTTGGAGAAGTTTTTGGATGTGCATAGAGACTTGATCTTAGAAGGTCCCATTCATCTATTTTATCCTCTCCTTGTTGTAAATTTTCCAGGATGCTTGGAAGACTGTTTATATTGTGGAAAATTAGACTCTTTAAGTCCATTTTTGGCATTTCTCTTACGACACGAGGAAACTAGCACAATAGGAAACATCTAACGCAAACCAACTTTGCCCTTTTTTGTTGTTGCTTTTCCTTTGACGTATTGTGTGGAACATACCCACTGTCAAGAATCTTTTTAAGGTGCTGAAATGTGAGAATATCAGTTTAAAGACTAAGTAGCCCCTGATCAAAGCCATGGTGTTTTCAATTGTTTCATATGCAAATGAAAGTTGAATAGTGAAGAAGAAAGACCAAAGAAGAAGTGACACCTTAAAACTGAGGTGTTAGCAAAGAGTATTGAATGTATCATGGACTGTCAAAAGAATAGATAAATCCATCTTAGAAGCAGTGGAGTCAGAATGCTCCTTACAGGATAAGGATAATGAGACTTTATCTCACATACTTGGGCAGGCTGTCAAGAGAGGTCAGTCCTTGGAAGTGGACATCATGCTTGGAATAATAGGGCTCAGAGAAGGACAGACTACAACAGTGAGTAAGTCCCCTGAAGAATGTGATGATGGCCTATGACCAGACAAGTTTCCAGTCTGTTGGACATTGGGTTGTGATGAGTCAGAATCTACTCAATGGCACATAACCAGAGTAAGTGCCCTTTCCCTGTCTGCTTTGTCCACTTCCCATGAAAGAAGAGAGAAGGAAAGGGAGCTTATCCTCTCCATGCATTTTCAATCTGGACTGAGTGTATAAATTCAATTGTGTTACTCCAGGATAATATTTTGGAGTCTCCATCACAACAAGATAAAGCTAAATAACCCAGTTTAAAAATGGGCACAGATATGAACAGACACTTCACCAAAGAAGACATTCAGATGGCAAAAACACACATGAAGAAAAGTTCAAAATCCCTAGCTCTAAGAGAGATGCAAATCAAAACAACTTTGAGATATCATCTCACCCTGGTAAGAATAGCAAAATATTTTGGAGTCCCGACCCCTGAACTTGCAAGTATATCCTTTTTTTCAGGAACTGTAGGTCTCCTTTGGAAGCAGGAGTGGCATCCACTTCCTAAGTAGCATGCCTTCAGAAACCCTATGAACTTTGATAAATGTTGATAGTTGTTAAGGGGCTTCCAGCCTTTTGTTCATAGGGTCGCTATGAGTCGTGCTCAACTCGAAGGCGATCAACAACAACATAGGTTTCCTTTATAGTATTCAGGAGATCGGTGGTGCTGTGGGTAAGACTACTAAGCAGAAGATCAGTGATTCAAACCCACAAACCCTCTTAGGAGATAGGTCTACTTCCATAAATACTTATGGCCTTAAAGGCCCAATGGGGATGCTCTCCTCTGCCCTACAGAGGCACTCTGATGCATTATCAACTCAATGGCATTGACTTGGTTTGGTCTTTACAGATGTTGATGTTGTTGTTGTGTATTATCACATTGGAAACTGGCCCATAGGTGCCCCTCCAGTGGGTTTTAAGAGACAGTTTAACCACATGGGAAAAGTTTGACCATCTTTCTCCCAAGGAGCAGCTGGTGGATTTGAACTTCATGCTCTCAAGATTGCAGCACAGCTCCTCACCACTAGGCCACCAGAGCTTTGCAGATATTATCAGTTAAATTAAATGAGGTCACATGAGAGTAGAAAAGATCCTAATCCTAATCCCTTCAGAGTTGGATATAGAAAGAGTCCCAGAGGAAGATGATCTGTAAGGATCTATCTATAAGGAGGGAGAACCTAGCATTGGGATGAAACAGTTCTCTCAAAACTCTCAGGCAGCACAGACATGGTAGATATCCTGGTTTGTATTTAGTTTTCAGAAGATGGACCAATAAATTTCTATTCTTTAAAGCCACCCATTTAGTGCTATCTTATCATGGCGGCCCTGGGAAATTAAGACACTTATCAATACAACCTGGCTTTTGTGACTACAGATTTCATAGGACATTTTTCCACGATGCTTTGCACAAATGCCTGCCAAAATGACTCCTTAAACTAACAAGTGCAAAGCTCACACAATAAAAGTCGTAAATCCACCTCAGTACTTATTTAATAACACTTTCAAAAGCAAAGAATGTGAAAGGCATTTTGGATCCTCAAACTAAAGTCAACTAAAATCAGTCTGCTTTCTTTTATCTTCACTTGTAAGAATTACAGTCCACAAAACACCTCTACTACAATGGCTAATATTTAAAATATTAGCATGATTACTGAAGGTTTTAATTAAAGAATCAAACATTTTAACTCATCAGAAGAATCCTGTTCAAATGGGAGAAATGCAAAATAGACTTCAGAATCTCATGGAAGCCACACTTTCTGGATCAATGGAGGCTAGGTGAACCCCTGAAACTACTGCCCTGAGGGAATATTTAAAACATAAACCAAAACTACCCCCTGAAATTTTCTTAAAGTTAAATTATAGTTTAGCTTAACTAGTGGAAAATGTCTTCCCTGAGCACTGTCCTTCTTTTAAGATCTATCTGTATGGGGTCAAATTGACAATAGTAGCGCAAGAAGTTAGATGAGAACTCTGGGAAGAGGTGACCCACGCCGCCTAAACCCAGTCTAACTCGTAGAAGTGTTCCACTAGGCTTCCAAGATTGTAAATGTCTATGGGAAGAGACTGTCCACCTTTCTACCAAGTAGTGTCTGTTGGATTTGAACTGCAGACCATTTGGTTAGCAAAACAATGGCATTTAACAATAACAATCTATGACAGGGAGCTCTGATGCCCTGTTGCTAAGAAGTTGTGCTGCAACCCCAAAGGCGTGTGGTTCAGAGTCACCAGCTGCTCTTTGGGAAAACTATGGGCAATCTTCTCTCATGCGATTAGCTGCCTCTGAAAATCCACCGTAGGCTGCACTGAGCCGATTCTGACTTGACAGCACATAACAACAACAATTTACAACAAGGGACCTCTGGTAGCCAGTTGGTAAGGATTTGCTCCGGCAACCCAAATGTATCCAGTGGGAGAAAGATGGCCAGTCCCCTCCTGCGTGATTAACTGCCTCTGTAAACCTGCTGGAGGGTCAGCTATGGGCCAGTTCTGACTGGTAAACAATAAAAATAATCTATTACATTAATAGATGTTTAAACATAGTGAAAAATGGCCACCAGGAAAGGATAAAATAGATAAGCGAGATCTTCTAAAAGTCAAACACTGTGTTTTTTAAAAAAACATCTCCAGAGGGTCAAAAGAGAGCCACCAGACTGGGAAAAACATTATATCTGGCAATGACATTTTTGATAAGGCACTCATATCTAAAATGTATAGAAAATTCTAGCACTTTGACAAGGAAAATAACCAAACAACCCAATTATAAAATGGGTAGAAGATATGAAAAAAAGATGTTCAGATGGCCAAAAAACACTTGAGGAAATATGCAAGATCACTGGTCATTAAAGAGAGGTAAGTCCACACAACAATGAGATATCAGCTCACACACAATAATAGCAAAGTACAACAGGACAGAAAACAACTGCTGGTAAGGATGAAGAGATTGGAACATTCATGCACTACTGGGTGGAATTTAAAATACTGTAACTGCTATGGAAGGCAGTCTTGTGCTTTTTCAAAGAGTTGAAAACAGAAATACCATGTAAGCCAGCTAGCCCACTACGGGGCATATATCCTAAAGAAAGAAAAGTTGTGAAATGAATAGATAGATACACATCCATGTATCACAGCATTATTCACAATAGCAAAAGATATAGAAATAGAAGCAGCCCAGGTGCCCATCAGCAAACAAGTAGATAGGGAAACTGTGGTACATTTGTGTGATAGAATATTATGCAGCACTTAAAAACAGCTATGAGCAGTCAAATGGACAGAAAAAAATTAATACTCATTTTTCATTTTAGAGAGAAGCTAATTCTCTTATTCTCCCATTTCCAAAATGGAGGACATTGACTAAAATAAAAATTTAATTTTTTAAGTCTTGATAGAAATTTTGTTTTCTGATACTAGTTATTGCAGAAGTGCTTTCATTAAAATAAAATACTTTACCAGTGTGTAAACTCAGTGAGAATAGCAAGTGATTATTTCTGATATTATCACACATTCTGAAGCATTGGCGTTTTACAAGTACAAAGAGTCATTTCCCTTTTGCTACTTCTGTGTTTCCCACCTATTCAGACCAATAAGTACTATGATAAATTAAAAAGTAGATTCACATCAGTATTATTACAATTTTGTTATTTTTGCACTTTGTCAACAAGCTGTATTCTTTTCTTTTCTATAAAATTGTCATTAAAAATTGGAAAAATGTATTGTGGGTCAGTTTGTCTGATTAAAGGGTAATATGTACATTGGGTCATTGACCAAGGAGGATAGAAGGAGAATTGATGCCTTTGAGCTGTGGTGCTGGAGAAGAGTATTGAGAATACCATGGACTGCTAGGAAAACAAACAGATTTGTCCTGGAAAGGGTTAAACCGGGTGGCTCCTTGGAGGCAAGGATTCTGAGGCTCCGTCTAACTTACTTTGGACATGTTGTGAGGAGAGACCGGTCCTTAGAGAGGGACATCATGCTTGGGAGGGTGGAGGGATGGCGCAGGAGAGGAAGGCCCTCTATGAGGTGGATTGATTCAGTGACTGGGATAATTGGGATGGGAGTGTCAGAGACAGTGCAATTGGCACAGGATAGAACGGAGTTTAGGGCTGTTGTACATAGGTTCGCTATGAGTCTCAGGCGACTCGACGGCACATAACAACAACAACAACAACATGTGCATTGGAAGATGAGAAGACATAGACCTGAGTTCTAAGGAAAATGGCTACCTAGAAAAAAGCCCCTAACTTTCTTGTGTCTTATTTTCTGCCATTATACGTATCTGAAGTATAATGTTTAATATTAGTATTACTTAAAATTTAATTTAGGCATATCAGAACTCTCTGACTTGGAACTTAATTGGTTAGCAACAGTAGAAGAACTTTTGTATATAAACAACAACAACAACAAAACAACTATGAACTTGTGATGCACTTCTGGACTTGTTATAACTACTGTTTGGCAGTGACTACAAACTTACCTGCTACCCCAGCAAATAGCTCTTCTCCAGCACAGCATCTGGTGGATTCGAACTGTGTACTTCCGGGACTGCAGTGCAGCTTCCTGCCACTAGGCCACCAGAGCTCCAAATAGCTCTTAAGTATATGTTCACGAAACATGAGCAGGAAAGACATTGCAATTTTAATTGAATGTCGTTGTACAACAACGTGAAGTAGGGTTGCACAACACAAATTCAATTCAATACACTGCTCAGAATAATACAAATGTCCGTCAACTCTAGAGTGGATAAAGGTTGCTGTATTCACGTTGTTGTTATTCTTGTTGTTATATACCGTGGAGTTGGAACCCACTCATAGCTGACCTTCTGGCACACTGTCAGCAGTAAATTGCACGAGAGATTTCCCATCCTTCTCCCACAGAGCAGTCAACTTTTTTCATTCCATACATGAAATTAAAATACTCACTGTCATTGAGTTGATTTCACTAAGTTAGATTTCCAAACTTTATCAGAAGAAACCTATCTTTCTTCCAGGGTCACTAGTGAACTTGAACCACCAGCCTATACATTAACAGCTCCATATCCAACACATTATGCTACCAGTGCTCCTTATATAATGGAATGGGTAAAAAAGCTGTGCTTCCTGCACAACCATGTTTATTGCAGCTTTTTTCACAATAGCAAAGAGTTGGAAACAACCCGAGTGCCCATCAACAAACATATGAATAGACAAGTTCTGGTATATTCACACAGTGGAATAATACGCTGCATTGAAAGACAAGGAACTCATGAAATATACAAAATGAGTGACCCTGAAGGACATTATGCTAGTGAAATATCTCAGTCACAAAACAGCAAATATTGCATAGGGGCACTGTTGTAAAACGGAACTGACATCGAGGTTGAGGGAAGACTGAGAAAGATGGAATGAATTATGTATACTACATTGAAACAGATGAGGGAGAGAACTGTTTAAAAGGGATATATGATTAGGTATTATTGTCATGATAGGAGTCCAGAATGAAGGCTGCACAGTGGAGTGGACTTAGTGGGAAGGATTATATAACAGTGAAAGAATTTTTCTTTTACTTTTCAAAGAGAAGAGCAAATTGGGGAGAGGGGGGCAGGGAGAAAAGTGCAACAATGAGTGAATGAAAACCCTAAGTCTCTGTAAACTTTCATTAAAATTATTTTTTTTTAAAAGCTGTGCTTCCAACCCAAAGGCACGAGTTTCAAATATACCAGCTACGCTTCAAAAGAAAGATGGATAATCTTTCCCCATATGATTTACAGCCTCTGAAAACCCACTGAAGGGTCAACTCTACGTTAGTTCCAACTGAGCTGTGAGGCATTTGAGTTGACACGGTAATTACAAAGAACAGAACACATTCTCGTGACAGCATGGATGGAACCCACAGAGGCTGGGCCAGGAGTCAGGGAGCATCTGAGGCACAGCTCCATTGGCGTGAAGCAGAAGGGCGGTCAACCCACCTCTGATCACAAAGGTCAGGGCACGGGTTATCCTGGCAGGGGTGGTGGGTACTGACTATAAAGGAACATGAAGGGGACATCCAGGGTGTTGGAAATATTCTCTAGTCTTGATCTAGGACATGGTGCCCAAGCGTATATTGCGGCTGCCGTCTGCTTAATCCAGCCGCACGGTGAGTCGGTGTCCTAACTCACTAGGACAAGTGGAACCAGATCTCCAGGGCTGTGTCCGAGGTTCCTCTCATGGATTCAGTCCATCAGCTTTTCAGCTTATAAATGAATCCTTAGAACGTTTGCCACCCAGGCTGTGCACAGACGGGGAAATTCACTGAGGTGTACACTCAACATTGGCTCATTATACACATTGTTTGTGATGCGAGGTGCCCTCAAGTTGAGTACAACTTGTAACGACGAACAATGGATCTGAGCTCTGTCCTGCACTGAGGCACACTCACCATCTGGGACGCACTTTGAGCTCCTTGCTGCGGTCACCATGTCCATCCGTCTGGTTGAAGGTCTTCCTCTCTTTTGCTGACCCTCCGCCTTACTAAGCACGACATCCCTTCCCAAGTAAGAGCCTCTCCTAACAACATACCCACACACGTGAGATGAAGAGCCCCCCTCCTTCCTGAAGGAGCACTCTGGCTACACTCTCTCCCACACATATCTGGCTGTTCCTTTGCCCGTCCACGAGATATTCAGTGCTCTTCTCCAGAACCCTGGCTCAAAGGCACCAAGTCTCCCTCCCAGGTTATAGTTAAATTTAATCACACACACACACACACACACACACACACACTCGTAGCTAAGGTAACACTGTCGATGTGCTTATTCCAGAGACTTAGAGAGTTCAAAACACTGTTCCCCAAATTCAATTACCTGGAAGATATTAAAAATGGCCCAACTCACCATGTGAGATAAAAATCATGACGGAGCAGGCTGCCGCCGCCAGAACATTGGACACAGCCAGCGGGTAGATGCGCCCGACGCGGTCGATGGTGAAGAGGATGAAGAAGGATGCTGGGAACTCAACCAGGGAAGAGTAGAAGAAATCCAGGTGGAGGTTCCCCCCGGTGGCGCCCATGTGCATGATGAGGCCCTGGTAGACCACGGCACCTGTGAACCTGAGCAGAGAAGAGAGAGTGAAGCAAAGCGGAGCTCTGGGACAGAGAGGCCCTTCAGAGGACCAGCTAGCTAGACAGAAGTGTGTAGCATCTGGCTCGGACCACCACAGAGCAGCGTGAGGAGAAACAGACAAAAGTGCCTCGTGGGGGTTCTGGATGAGAAAGTCCGTTCACAATTTCTGACTACCACCTCTGGTGGAAGTTCTGGTATCACAGTCTGTGGGGTGTCAGTTTCACTGCAAACCCCAAGACCCTACCTCTCTAGCACTTCTACTGCACCAGTCACCTCATGGTAAGAACTGCGCCGCAAGCCCAAAGGTGTGCAGTTCAAATCCATCAGATGCCCCACAGGAGAAAGATGGGCAATCTCCTCCCATGGGATTTGGGGCTCTGAAAACCTGTTGGTGGCTCAGCTGTGGGTCTGTTGCAACTGGATGGCACACAACAACAACAAACACTTCTTGGGAGAAAGATGGGTGATCTCCTGCGGCCTTTACAGCTTGGGGCCCTACTGAAGGCTCAGCTGGGCCTCCTCCCAGACTCAGAGCAATGGCTTTAGTGAGATAAGCTCCCAACCCGAGGGTAAGAGACTGATGTTTCTAATCAATAGACCACCTCGTGTTTGAAAGCTCCACAGAGCAGCCTGAGAGGCTTTTGTTCTTTGTTTCCATTTCCGATTGGTCAAAGAGTCCGCAAACAAGAATGAAAGTCAAGGTCTAGTCTCGTTGTGCAGAGGGTCAATGTCAGCCAGCACCAGTTCAATGACATCTCAGAACAACAGTTACTGAGCACTTCTTAATCTACATAAGACAGTTCTAAGCCCTTTCCACATGACTTGGCCCAACATACCTAAAGGGGAAAAGCCCCCAGATGACTGACTTTGAGCCAACTGCAGCCGTGGTGACCCACGTGTGTCAGAGGACAGCCAAGGCTCACAGCCTTTCGGTGGGTGATTATTTAGATCACCAGGTCTTGAGTCGGAGGCACCTTTGGGTGGATTTGAGCCCCAAGCAGTAACTGAGTGCTTAATCATTTGTGACACCTGGGACTTCTGGTAGAAAAGTAAAAGTGAAGACATACCAATGATAACAACAAAAAATAAATCCCAGATGCCACAGAATGGATTGCACCTCCTGGGACTCCTGTGTGCCTGGGGGGGGGGGTGCTCCCTAACTTGGCAGTTCCTGGCTCTGCAGAAGTAGATTACTGGGTCTTCTAAAGTCCTCCTGGGGGGATCAAATCTCTGACATTTTAGTTAGCAGACAAACATGTTAACTTCGTACAACAGCCAAGAGCCCATGGGACAATTATCACCCCAGTATTCATGAGTAAACAGCCACAGAGAGGTTAGGAGAGTTTCCAAAAGTCACACAGTGAGGAAGGAGTGGCCATGCCTCCCGGGTGCTGTCATGACGGGAAGCCAGGGAGGAGGAGAGGTGCTCGGGAAACAGACCACGGAAGGCCTTGCATCTATGAAAAGGAGTTTGGGCCTCTTGTTAGGGAGTTGAGAAACAATTAAAGGGCTGAGCAGGGGAGTCAAGGGCCCTTTGAGCCAACGGCAAAGCTAAATCTCAAGCCCTCAGAGTCCTGAGCAGCAGAAACAGCCAAGCTCTAGACAATTCACTGAAAGGTTGGTGGTTCCAACTCGGCCAGCAGGGCCTCAGCAGACAGGGTGGTGTCATGTACTAGCTCTCAGGACCCCTCTGAGCAGTCCTGTCCTGCACATGGGGAGAAGGTGAGAGTCAGCACCGACTCACAGCCAGGAGCAGCAATGATGATCCCAGAGAGTTCCTAGCCGCCCTCAGGTGTCTTCGAGTTAACTACAGCTCACGGTGTCCCTTCCAACAGACAACAGCACTCGGCCTGCCCTGAGCCTTCCTCCTGGTCTCCACTGTGTGTGAACCCGCGGAGCAGTCACTGCGTCAGGCCACCTCTCCAAGGGTCTGCCTCACTGTCGATCCTTAACTTCTCCCAGCATGATGTGTGTGATTTTAATCTGTGGCCCCCAGGCCCGGTTTTAATCGTATTTGGTCAAACATTCTTCTAGGTGGTATAGCACTGGTCTATCGATTTGCTGCATAGAGGTAACTCATGGTTGCTGTGATGCTGAACACTGTGACACCGATGTGTCAAATGAGATAATGTGTCAAAAATCCAGTGTTTGGTGGAGCTCCCTGATTAAAACAAGCTTGGAAGCAGGAGTGGCATCCACTTCCGAAATAGCTTGTCTCCAGAAACTCTATGAACTTGGAGAATTGAAGAAAGTTATACAAGTGTTCAGGTCTTTCATTCATTGGGTCGCTATGAGTCGTCTATGACTTGACGGCACTTAACTACAACAATGGTGTCTCCTAACATTCCAATGTGTGTGAGATGAAATGCTGTATTGTCTTTGCCTCTAAGGAGCAGCCTGGCCACTCAAGGCAAACACCCAGGCTGGCTGTGGTGGAAATTCCTCTCCTATCCACAATCAGTACTCTGGGTACCAGTAGCCAAGAAATCAGGAGATGAAATGCATTTGGAAAGTCAGCTGTCAGGGGCTCGTCCAGAGTAATGAGGAGCAATGATGTCAGGCTGGAGATTAAGGTGTGCCTGATCTGGGCCATAGTCTTCACAATTGTATGCTATGTGTCAGGGAGCTAGATGATGACTAGGGATGATAGAAAGAGAATTGATGCCTTTGAGCTGTGGTGTTGGAGAAGAGTGTTGAATATACCATGGACTGCTAAGAGAACAAACAGGTTCATCCTGGAGAGGATGAGACCAAGATGCTCCTTGGAGGCAAAGATTCTGAAGCTTCATTTGATATACTTTGGGCATGTTGCAAGAAGGGACTAGTCCTTGGAGAGGGACATCATGCTTGGGCAGGTGGAGGGACAGCACAAGAGAGAAAGACCCTTGATGAGATGGATTGATTGAGTGATTGGGGTAATGGGAATAGATGTGTTGGAAACAGTGAGGTTGGCACAGGATAGAGCAGGATTTAGGGCTCTTGTATATAGGGTCACTATGAGTCGCAAATGACTCTACGGCACATAACAACAACAACATCCTCAGTCAACACCCTTGGTACCAGCACCAGGAGACAGGAGACTACTGCACTAGGGAAGCCTGCATAAAGGGACCTTTCAAAATTACTGAGGAGCAATGATAGAGAGTTTGAAGACTAAGATTTGCCTGATCCAGGCCTAGGTCTTTTTAATCACTTGTTCTGCATCTGACAGCTGAACAATGAATAAGGACGAAAAAGCCAAATTGATGCCTTTGAGCTGTGGTGTTGGAGGAGAGGACTGACTGTCCCGTGGACTGTCAAAAAAACAAACAGGCATGTGTTAGAGAAGGTGAAGCCATATTGCTTCTTGGAAGCAGGATGGTGAAGCTTTGTCTCGCGTGCTTCAGGCATTTACGAGGGAGGCTGTTCCTTGGAGAGGGACGTTACACTTGGAAAGGCGAGGGGACAGCAAATGAGAGAAGACTCTTTACCAGGTGGATTGACACAGTGACTACAGCTATGGGCTACGGCGTGTTAGGGATTGTGAGGACAGCACAGGACAGGGGAGGGTTCGTATCTATCACTCTTAGGGTCACTATAAGTCATACTCAACTCAACGGCACCTAACAACAGCAGCCCAAACACTCCAGCCTAGAAGAGGTGAGGAAGTTATCCGTGCCCTCTGCTAAGGGAGAGATGTTTTAACTGGAGAAGTGAATACTGATAGAGAAACCCACCAGGTATGCACAGGCCCGGAGCAGGGGTGTCTTTGCAAAGGCACAGCCCTTGTGGCCAGGATGGGGACTCTAGCACCGGCTCTAGGCTGTGGCGCTGGTGTGCAGGGAGGTGGAGGGAGGTCAGGGTGAGCCTGGGCTGCTAAAGAACAGGGGGTGTGTTCTGCTGCCGTGGTTATTCATTCAACACTCCACAAACATTGAGTGCGAGTCTTCTCATGCCGGTCACTGTCCTGGGAGTCCAGACCCTTTGTACCGGGGAAAAAAGCTGATGCAGACATGCAAACAGCACCAGGCAGGCCACTCAGCTGTGGGAGGGATCGCTGAAGATCGCTCTGACATTTAGGTGGGGGACAAGCTGCATGTGCATAGGTTGACCAGAACTACACTTGGAAGCAATGAAAGTGGAGGTTTCTTCTCATGGCAGCTGCCCAGGCAAGAGTCAGGGGCTCACTCGCCCGGGGGATGCCGATTCCCAGGGGCTATGGAGTTCTTACAGGAGGGGACAAGCTGGCTGTTAGATGTTGTCAAGTCAGCTCCAGCTCTCAGAGGTCATAGACGCAGTAGAAGGAAACCCTGCTGGGCATTGTGGCCATTTCTCAGCTAAGCGATAAGAAAGCACCTATGCTCAGATCAACCTCACTTTCTGAAGGTGAGGAGAACTTGAAGAGCTTGTTACAGAACGTCAAAGAAAAAATAGTCTTTAATATGGATTGCATCTCAACATCAAGAAAACAAAGATTCTTACCACTGGACTGGCAGGCAACATCATGATGGATCGAGAAAAGATCTAAGCAGTCAACAACTTCATCTTAACTCAGATTCACAATCAACACCCTTGGTACCAGCAGTCAGGAAATAAAGGGACGTATTGCACTGGGAAAGTCTGCAGTGAGAGACCTCTCCAAATTATTAAGGAGTAATGATATCAGTTTGAGGACTAAGGTGCATCTGATTCAGGCCATAGTCTTTCCAATCACTTGCTATGCATCTGAGAGCTGGACAATAAATAAGGATGACGGTAGGACTGATACCTTTGAGGTGTGGTGTTGGAGAAGAGCACTGAACATCCCATGGACAGCCAAGAGAAGAAATATGTCTTGGAGAGGGTGCAGCCTGAGTGCTGTTTTGAGACAAGAAAGATGAGGCTTTGACTAACATACTTTGAGCATGTTGCTGGGAGGAGCTACTCCTTTGGAGAGGGACATGATGCTTGGGAAGGCAGAGGGTCGGCGAAGGAGAGGAGGACCCTTGATGAGGTGGATTGACATGGCGACTGCTACGATGAGCTCTACTGTGTCAGGAAGTGTGAGGATGGCGCAGGAGAGGACAGGGCTCAGATCGGTTGTTCATAGGGTCGCCATGGGTTGTACTCGATTCAGCAGCACCTAGCAACAACAACATTCTCAGATTGGGTCTGCACCATTTGTAGATGCCAGAAAAAGACCTTCCTTCTCAAAGTTACTTGGTGCCTCTGAAACACCACCAGTTTCTAACATGATGCCAGGACTTGCTATTCCCTAAAGACCAGGCTGGTGGCATTGGAGGAGTCCTTGGCACGGGCCATCCATCGTCCAGTTCACCTGTCATACAGTCTTACTGAAATAAAGCCTTCCCCACTGCTCAATCCTCCGAGAGAAATGAGGACCTCTGTTGAAGAGTTCAATGCTGACTGTCATTTCTACCCTACAGGACAGAGCAGAGCAGTCCCTAGAGATTTCCAGGGCTGACGTCATTATGGAAGCAGGCCACCACGTGCATCCCCGTATCTCCATCCTGTGGAGCAGCAGGCGTATTCAAACCAGTAACCATTCAAACAGTAGCTAAATGTTTTAACCCCTGTATCACCAGGCCCCTTTCAAACACTTGGCCCTTTAAACATCCCTCTTCACGCGCCTTTCCTCCCTCAAGCTTCCTGGTCCAGCCCGTGACTCTGCTGTGCTGACACTCCAGGGACATGTGAGACTGCACAGGTCCACCTCACACAGCTCACCACAGGTAGAACAGGATGAAGGTGAACTTCCTCAGCTGCGGCGTGCGGAACAGGTCTGCGATGGAAGGGCTCAGCTTCTCGGAGACGTCCTCTTCCAGGGACAGCATCTGAGGAGAGTGGGAGTCAGCCCCCCTGAACCACATGACAGAAGCCCCCCGACGGGCCACCTGGGCCACCCCCCCCCCCGGGAAGAACGAAGCCTCTCGTGGCTGCCTTGTCACAGCCCACCCCGAAACCAGCCCCTAATCAGAGTCAACTGTGGGTCAGAGGAGACCTGGCTCCACAGGAATTTCAGGGACAGACTCCTGCCCAAGGGCCGGCTCTTCTGAAGACCTCGGTGTGGACTAGAACCGCCAAACGTTCTGCTCGAAGCTGACAACAGTCAACCTTCTGCAGCAGGGACAGGGCGGGGAAGAGGGGACCCCCCCAATCATAACCCTGAACCATGCACAGTGAGGGGCAGCCCCCACAGGCACCCAGCGGTTGTCACCTTGAGGTCGGCTGGCGGTGCTCTCCCGTTCTTCCGGGCGATGTGGCTCATTATCCTGATGGCCTCTTTGTGCCTCTTCTGTGACAGCAGCCACCGAGGAGACTCAGGAACACACCTGTGGGGACAGGGCCATCACTTGATTTTTGTCCGAAAAAAAGAAAGCCTGGAGCCACTGCTGAGAGCATGAGCTGCGAGGACACTGTGGGTGGGAGGGAGGCCTGTCCATGGTCACTGAGGGAAGGGTGTGTGTGTGTGTGTCCATGGGACCCCCTGGGGCAGCCCTGAGGGCAGGTCCCCTCAGGCAGGGGACACCCTTACCAGTAGTAGATCATGAAGAGGAAAGTGGGCAGGGACACGGCCAGCTGCAGCCACCGCCAGTGGGGCAGGATGTAGGCGATGCCTGCCAGTAGCACGAGGCCCACCGTGAAGGACGTCTGGTACAGGATGCCCACTGTCCTCCTGTAGCCCAGGCCAACGAACTCTGTGACTGCAGAGGAACGTGCCATCATTACAGGAGCTCGCTGGAAGGGGAGAGGCATCAGGTGGTGCCCTCAGAAGCTGGGCATCCTTCATCCTTTCCGTTCTCCACCTGGGCCACCCTCACCCTTGCCTGTCCTCCCTGATCCAGCAGGCCTCTCCTGTGCCCTCCACCCCTCCTTCCTTCAGGTCCTTCCTGGAGAAGGTATCCTGCTATCACCAACTCTCAGGATCCCCAACGCACCACACGCTGTCCCCTTCCTTGTCCCCCTGTTGGCCTCCCAGCTCAGGACTCTCTTGCCATGGTCCTCTCTACCTAACCCTTCCTTCCTGTGAGCTCCAGGCTGAGGTGAAATCAGTTTCGTAACCCAAAGGGTGCACATTCCTTACAGAACCCTTGAAGTGCCTGCAAGGCCCTAGATATGGATTCCAGGGGTTGGGATTCATTGGTGAACAGACGAGATTAATTTTTAAAAGATAGGTATGTGGGTGGAAGCCTGTGCTCGTAGGCTTTCCACTCTTGTGAGAGATAAACATAAACATAAACATAAACGGACATACACATAAGCAAGCCCTGTACTCTGGTGGCCTAGTGGGAAGGAGCTGCACTGACAAGCAGGTGGTTCAAATCCACCCACTGCCATGAGGGAGAAGATGGGCCACGTCCTCCCAACACGCAGCTACAAGGCATCTCTGACCTGACAGCATCTAACCGCGACAATAACAATACCACCTCAAGGGTGACATGGTCTCTAGGAAGCTGTGCTACTGACCCAAAGGTTGCACCTCTCTGACTCTGGCTGTCCACATCTACTGGCAACTCCAAGAGAGAAAGATGGTCAGTCTTGGCGAGCTCTGGTGCCCTAGTGGCAAGAAGCTGCACTGCAATCCCAGAAGTGAGCGGTTCGAATCCACCAGATGCTCTGCTAGAGAAGGAGGGACAATCTCCTCCTGTACCAATTAGGTCTGATTTGATGGTATGCACAAAAAAGATCTTTTAAAAAAAATATGAGCAATCTCCTTGGGTGTAACTGACAGCTTCAGGAAACCAATGAGAGGTTGGCTATGAGCGAGTTCCACCCCAGTGCCAGTGAGTGGTGCTCCTGATTGGACAGCTAGCAATCTGGCATGGACAACACAAGGCCTCCAGGGCCCTTTCTCTGCTGTACTTTGTTTTGTTTGGGAGATCAAACCTTTTTACTCAGAGCTTTCTTTTGAGGAAAGAGCGAAAGAGGCAGGGACACGAGCTTCAACAATTGAGGCCTGTCCCAGATCACCCACCCTTCAGAAGGATCACTGGCCCTTCAGAACCCGAAAGCTCTCTGCTACACTTTGATCCTCATTTTGACATCTGCCTTCCTCTGTAGCGTCTGAAGTCCTTGAAGATAGGAACATTGCTCTATCCACAAGGGACCCTCTAACCCAACCGCAGTGTTACTAACAGACACAGCAAGTTTGTAAGGAACCCCTCACAGCAGGAGCAGTAGCAGCATTTCTGGGGACAGCTGCGGTGGGCACTGTTCCAGGCCTGTCACGGATGCAGTTCCTTTATTCCTCACAGCAACCCCCAGGGAAAGCACCCTGTGTACTCATTCTGAGGAAACAGGCACAGAGAGATGGTGTAAATTGGCCAAGAGCACACAGTTGGTGTCAGACATGGGACCCCACGCCATTCGTCTAACCATGTCTTCCCTGGTGCCCATTCAGCACTGCCTGTCACTGGTTTTTGAAAGATATTTGCTTGGGTAACTAAACTCTGGAAACTAAGGTGTGTCTGATATAGGCCATGGTTTTGCAATCACTTGTTATGCGTCAGAGAGTTGGACAATGATCAGAGAGGATAGAAGGAGAATTGATGCCTTTGAGCTGTGGTGTTGAAGAAGAGTATGGAATATACCATGGACTGCTAAGCAAACAAACAGATTCATCCTGGAGAGGGTTAAACCAGGCTGCACCTTGGAGGCAAGGATTCTGAAGCTTCGTCTGACGTACTTTGGACATGTTGCAAGGAGGGACCAGTCCTTGGAGAGAGACATCATGCTGGGTAGGGTGAAGGGACAGTGCAGGAGAGGAAGACCCTCTATGAGGTGGACTGAGTCAGTGACTGGGGTAAAGGGGTAGGTGTGTTGGAGACAGTGAAATTGGCACAGGATAGAGCAGAGTTTAGGGCTGTTGTACATAGGGTCGCTATGAGTCTCAGGTGACTCTATGGCACATAACAACAACAACCTAAACCAGCATGTTCACAGTTTCTTGTGGGAGAACATAGCACGAGCCACCTTGCCCTCGCCACCCCATCTGTAGAACGTCCAGATGCTAGGACCAGCTGCCTCTCTTCTCCACAGATGACCACAAATGGGGTTCTCCCCCCTGCTGTCCAGTGCAGCCCATCCTGGCACAAGAAAGGAGGAGTGATTCTTTGCCTTTCCTCGGGGAAAGGCATTGATATTTCTTTTTCATACTCTGAATTAGCTCTGATGGGAGTTGCCCTTAGGGAATTAACCAAAGGCATACACCCCTCCAGCTGTTTGAAACCACCAACTGCTCAGGAGAAAGTCGGCCATCTCCTCCTGTCCAATTTACAGCCTCTGGAAATTCACTGAGGGTCAGCTCCATGCCATCTCTGATTCCAGGACAATGAGTCGAGAGTCTTGTTCTTTGTGGACAATTGGCAGATGGTGGTGTGGGTGGGAAGCTAGTATGTGGATTCATCCACACTGGTGTTGCACCTCACTTGGCTTTTCTGTGAATACTTTGGTTATTTTTTTTTTTAAATTATGACTTGCGTACAAAATGCATCTACATTGTGTCTCATTCATGCCCATTGTCTTTCACACTTTCCTTCATTCCCACTGTGTTCCCTATGATGGGTCCCCTACACTGTTTTATAAAGTAATCACCACAGATCCATGTGCACTATCACCCTGTCTTTCCAGGTCCCCACTAGATCTACCCCAAGCCTTTCACCCTCTACCTCTGCCCATCAATCACAGGGTCACTTTGCTTTTAATCATGTTTATCTTTTTGTTTTAACTTTTATTATTTTGTGTGTCTGTGTGTACCGTCAAATCAGATTTGACCTGGTACCGGAGGAGATTGTCTCTCCTTCTCCAGCAGAGCATCTGGTGGATTCGAACCACGTACCTCTGGGTAATCATGTTGATCTTTCTACCTTATTTCCCCATATCTGCTTCCCTAACTTTTAAGTGTCATTTGAACCAGTTGAGTTTGCTGTCTTTCTTTTGAGGCTATTTAGAATTTTGAAACTCTGCCCCTTCTCTCTCTTCCTGCCCCCTGTCCACATTGCTGTATATATACTGACACACACAGTCTCCTTGTGCCCAAAATGCATCCTAGAAACGAAACCCTGGGTTTTTCTCGGTGTCCTTCCAAAGTGAAAAGGAAAATGGGAGTGGAAAGGGTTAAAGTCTGAGCTCTGGAGCTGCTCCCCTCCCCCTGGGGCTGCAGATGTCTTCTGCTTCCCCTCATTAATCTCCCCCTATCCAAACAAGGCCATAGTGACCTCTGGAATATATAGTGAGCTGGGTTTGAGACTGCTCGGCGTCCTTCGCAAAGTTTCTTTACGTAAACAGACATAGGTCAAACATAAATAGAACTTTAGGAATGTGCCATGATCAAAATTACGCGTTGCCTTTGTAGATTAGAGACTTCCTTTAAACGATTGCTGAAAAATAGTTGTGTGTATGTGATTGAGATTTGTGGTTTGAACAACCCTGACTTCCACCCAGGGAGCGGGCACTGTGTAGTGCTGTGACACCATGTCTGACTCCCTTTGGTACATCGGGAAATAAGCTCTTGCCCTCTCACAAAGCTGGCTCCCAGTCTGTGATGGAGTAGTGTTAATAAATTCAGAATTCTCTAAATATGTATCAGTTATATAACTATAGTTTACATAGTTACAAAGCTGACATAAGTTTTCTCTAGCCTGCAAAACTAGTTACTTTGTCTTAGAATTCTTTTGTTTCCTTTCTTTAGTCATGTAAAATAGTTAAACTGTCTGTTTATCAGGAGAGGAAATGCATCTTTCCTAGATTAGCATTTACCTCTTTGAAACTTTTTACCAGCCATATGTAAATTGTATCTTCATCTGCCTGTTTACCAGGAAGGAAAAGGTGCCTTTCCTGAATTACTAGTATTTAATAATGATCTTCTCAGAATTAGCCACAGTTTCCTGTGGTCTCCACACAATCAAAATGCCTTTGCATAGTCAATGAAACACAGATAGACATTCCTCTGGAACTATTTGCTTTCAGCCAAGATCCATCTAACATTAGCTACAATATTCCTAGGACCATGGCCTCTCCTAAACCCAAACTGCACATCTGGCAGTTCTCTGTTGATGTGCTGTTCCAGACATTTTTGGATAATTTTCAGCAGAATCTGCGCTTACATGTGATATTAATGATATTGTTTGATAATTTCCACACTCTATCAGATCATCATTCTTTGGAATGGTAACAAATATAGATCTCTTCCAGTCAGTTGGCCAGGTTGTTGTCCTTCAGATTTCTTCACACAACTTGGTGAGTACACCTAGGGCAGAATTCGTTGGTTGAAACATATCAATTGGTATACCATCACTTCCTGGGCCCTTGTTTTTTGCTAATTCTTTCAGAGCAGTTTGAACTTCTCCCTTCATCACCACAGGCTCTTGTTCATATGTTGTTCCATTAAATTCTTCTGTGTCTGCCAATTCCTTTTGGTAAGATGACTCTGTATACTCTTTCCATCTTCTTTTAATCCTTCCTGTATCATTTCATATTCTGCCCATTTTTTTTTTCAATCACTTGCATCAGAGAGCCAGACAATGACTAGGAATGACAGAAGAATTGATGCCTTTGAGCTGTGGTGTTGGAGAAAAGTATAGAATATACCATGGACTACTAAGAAAATTAACAGGTTCATGCTGGAGAAGATTAAGCCCGGCTCCTCCTTGGAGGCAAGGATTCTGAAGCTTCGTCTGACATACTTTGGACACGTTGCAAGGAGGGACCCAGTCCTTGGAGAGGGACTTCATGCTTGGGAGGGTGGAGGGACAATGCAGGAGAGGAAGACCCTCAATGAGATGGATTGATTCAGTGACTAGCGTAATTGGGGTAGGTGTGTCAGAGACAATGAGATTGGCACAGGATAGAGCCAAGTTTAGGGCTGTGTGCATAGGGTTGCTATGAGTTGCACGTGACTCGACGGTACGTAACAACAACACCACCACATATGAACTGGTCTTTTCAAATATGGAAATCCTGTAACTTTACTAACCCTAGTATAAAAATGTAATGACCACTCCCAGATGAAGAGGCTGTTTTTGATAGGAACTCATTGTCCTCCCAGATCTGTAATAAAGTGCTTATGGATATTGCAATCCGTCTGTCTTACTGGCAATTGACTTCAGAAAGAGCCCCTTGCATTCAGTAATATCTGTCCTGAGCCAAGGACTCTTTTGAGTGACAAGAGTGACAAGCTTGGGAAGCTAGACCCATGTGAGTGAGGAGATGAGGTCATGGTGAACATCTCTCAGGATCAACCGCAGGCTTCCAAGGGGAGCCGCCTGCCCAGCCAGCCTGGAGGGGGCTGCAATCTCAGGAGGCGGTGTTGCCAAGCACTCAGGCCTTCCTGGGATGCTGGGCTGACATCCATCTCAATTCTCAACCCAGGTATTGCCACAGGAAGGTGTCTCTTCTGGGGGCTTCATCAGAGGCTCCTTCTCTGAAACCCCACAGTTCTCCACCCTCGGTCCTTTTCTCTTCCTCTGCCCAGCTCCTGGATTCATAGGGAGGAGGGTAGCAAGAGTTTTAAGTCTGGGGCAGAAAGATGACCCTAGTCCTCATATCTGTCTTTATCTGTTCTGGTCCACCTGACCCTGTCCTGAAGCTGTCACATGCATGTTGGACCAAAACCAAGGCCAAGAGGGAGATGATGAATTTGTCTTGTCCTTTAGTGATGTGTTGCATTCTTCGGTCCTATAAATGGTCAACCGAAGAATATAGTCCATCAGCATAGAAAACTGGGAATTGCACCACGTCAGGAAGAAGAATGAACAGACTCACCCACCTGGTGTGACCAACAAGTAACTATAGTAAAATATCTTTATTCTTCCCTCTTCCCTAAGACCCTGTTATAAAAACCTGCTTAGTTACACCTTGGTGCGGGTTCCCCGGTCTCTCTCTCCAGACCAAGGAACCTAGCCTGAGAGCTCCCTTAATAAAGCTGCCTTCAAGCCTTCTTTCTTTCTGGTTTCTTTGTCTTGAGTCCGTGACCTAACAATAAGAAAATGCAGAGGGGATTCTACTTCTGTTCAGGTCAGCCTCTTGCATGCTGTTCCTGTCAGCAGAAGCTGACATTTGACTTTATTTTCATTCTTTGCCTTTTTTTATAAATACTTTTGAGGTTTTTTTACATTCTTTTATTTAATGGTTGTTTTTGACACTACATACAACAAAGCATATACTTTTCAACAACTTCTACGTGGCCACTTCAGTGGTAGTGTTGCTGTTGCTGTTGCTGTTGTTGTGTGCCAGAACGTGGCAAAGTGTCTTGGCAATGCTGACCAGTTGGATCATATTTACTGTTTTATTTTTTTTTAAACTAATTTTTTAATTGTCATTTTAACAATAGTTTACAGAAAAGTCAGATTTTCGTTCTTTCTTTGTTGCACATTTTACTCCCTCTCCCTCCCTTCCCCCTCCCCAAGTTGACTTTTTCCTTTTCATTCATTTATTTCATATTTACAGTTGATGAGCTTCATCTAGTCCCCAAAACAGCTTTATCATGATAAAGATGCCCTGGGTTTGGAGACAACACTGGGTCTACATTTGTTCTGGCCCTGAGGTATTTCATTAATCTCTCCATGTATCTGTGAAATGTGTCAGTAAAATTCTAGGGTCATTTAGAGGATTAACTGAAGCAGCAGGAGACAGTGCTTTCCATAGCACTAGGTTTATGGCACACTCTTCCCAGTGTCTGCATGACAATACGAGTTCTCTGTGGGTTTGTGGTCTATTTTCTGTTGCTGATATACAGGACAAGAGAAGGCATGGCATGTGAGCTATGTCCTCTGCTTGTCATTAAAGAGAGGCCGAGAGGCAGGCCATGCATCTCAGAGGCACATCTGGCGTGTTTGTTAGGGTGGCTTTGAGCTTTGATGGTGAAGACGATGAGATAAGGAACTGCTGAGGTCAGGGGGCTGCTGGGCATCCTGGGATTCTGCTGACCAGTCACAGGTTCTTTTGCAAGATATGTGAGGAGGGTATGTGGCTCCCAGAGTCACCAAATATGAAAAAATGTCATCTTCATTTCATGCAAGTGCCCAGAGACTAACCCCACACCATCCCTACACTTCCAGTTGAGGTTTTGAGAGGACCCTCAGAACTTGTTAGCTCTGAGATAAGGGGTATATTTGGGACCCTATATAAGGAGTACATTTGGGACCTTATATAGTTAACCTATTGGAGGCAGAAGTAGCATCCACTTCCTAAACAATATGCCTCCGGAAACTCTATGAACTTTAATAAATGTCAATAGTTGTAGAAGGGCTTCAAGTCTTTTGTTCATAGGGTCGCTATGAGTCATGCTCGACTCAATGACAATCAGGAACAACAACACTATGGTGAACCTATGCACAATGGCTCTGAACCCTGCTCTGTTCTGTGCCAATCTCACTGACTCTAACACACCTATCCTCATTGCCCCAGTTACTGTATCAGTCCATCTCATCCGGGGTCTTCCTCTCCTGCGCTGTCTCTCTGACCTTCCAAGCATGATGTCCTTCTCCAAAGACTGGGCTCTCCTGGCTACATGCCCAAAATAAGTAAAATGGAGTCCCAAAATCCTTGCCTCCAAGGAGCAACTTAGATTCATCCTCTCCAGAACAGACCTGTTAGTTCTCGGCAGTCTGGGATGTTCAAGACTCTTCTCCAGCACCACAACTCAAAAGCATTCGTTCTTCTTCTGTCATCCTGGATCCATAGCAAGTAATTGCAAAGACCATGGCCTGGATCAGGCATGCCTTGGTCTCTAGACTGACAGGCTTGCTCTTCAGCACTCTGGAGAAGTCCCTGACAGCAGATTTTCCTAAAATTTTCCCAATTTGGTGACAATTATTATATTCTTCAAGTTGTGTGACCATTCTCACTTGCTTGTTGTTTTTTTTTTACTGTTCCTCCCTAACTCACTTAAACCCCTTGTTTCCTAAAGCTTCTAAGTAAATTTTCAAGATGCTGCTGCCAATTTGATCCCATATACACAAATTTTTTTAAATGAAAGTTTATAGAGAACTTGGATTTCAATTCATTCATTGTTGCTAGACAATTCTAATACAAGCATAATGCTCAAGGCAGTTTCTATTTGTTAAGCTAAACTAGTGTTTGGTTTTAAGATACCAGGTGATATTTTTGGTTTAAGCTTGAAAGGTTACCTCAAGACAAGTTTCAAAAGTTCATCTAAGCTTCCTGCTTTCTGGAACTCTAGAATCCATTACAATTTAAAATTCTGTTCTGTATTTTCCCCCTTTTGATGAAGATTCTTCTGTGTAAATTCTGATCAAAGAGTTCAGCAATGGTATCAGCTCATTGTCCTAATCATCTACTCGGGCACTTAGATGTTCCGCTCTCTCAGCTCAGCTCAGTTCCCACCATCCTCTGCCATCTGAACAATGTCCACCTAATGTTAATATGATTTTTCTAGATCCTGAACACATGTTGTTGTTTGGTGCTGTTGATTTGACAACAATTCATAGCTGCCCTATGTATCCAAGACAAGAACCTTGACCTCTTTCACCATCACCACAATCTCGACTATGTTCAAGTCCAATGTTAGAGTCACTGCATCAACCTATCTAGCACAGCATCCGCATGTCTAGCTCCATCCATGCTACCACCTACTTGAGCTCCATCGTCTGAGGGAAGCCATGGTCCTGTCAGCCAGTACTTACTCAGGATGTAGCCCGAGGTCCAGCTGCCTTTGCTGACCAGCCCCTGCAGCAAACGGAAGATCAGCATAGATGTGTAGTTGGGTGCTATGGCCATGAGCACTCCGGAGATGGTGTTAACGAGAGTGGTTGCCAGCAGACAAGTTTTGCGACCAAACCTTCAGAGTCAAGGGGACAAGGACGTGAGGCAGGGTGGTGGGAAAGTGGAGCTAGCCCTACAGAGTGGAACCCTGTGGACCACTGGCTGTTGTCACGCGTAGTTTTGACTGTGTTCAACAATACTACATTGTAATCAAAAGGAATAAGGGCGTCCCACGATGGGCACTCCAATCCTCACACAATCTCCTCCAAGCACCTCTGTAGTTAACATGATTGCACGATTCAGGAGAGCACCTCAAAATAAGGTTCCTTATACAATTCGATTTCTTTGTCACACAAGATTTGGGACGAAAATATTTGTTGTTGTTGTTGTTGTTGTTGGGTGTCATTGAGTTGGTTCTCACAGGGTTTCCCAGCAGTCATACTGTTCATGTGAAACAGAACGACACTGGTCAGTCCGGCACCATCTCCACATTCACCCCTGTACTGGACCCATTGCTGCAGCCACTGGCAATCCATCCTGATGGGAGTTTTTCATTGACCCCCTGCTTCCTAGTGGACTGGTCCCATCCTTCATGTATATAGGTATATGTGTTCACACTCACACACACACACACACACACACACCCCATCCTCTGCCATCCAGTCAACTCCTGCTCTCGACAGCCCTCCATTCAGTTTCTGAGGCTGCAAATCTTAAAGGAAGCAGATTCTCTCACCCTTCTCTCAAGGGGCAGCTGGTGGATTTAAAGTGCTGACCATTCTGTTAACAGCCTGAGACATAGCCCACCGCACCACCAGATGCCACCCTGGTCCTGGATGCTGTATCCCTGCTGCCCATTTCCTCTCCCCCACAGCCCACTCCTCTAAACTTCCACATGCTCGCCTCCCCACTTCCCATTTCCCTCCATCTCTGCTGACGTGTCCTCCTCCTTTTCATGGGTGCTCACAGCTTCCAGATCCATAGAGGAAATGGGCCGAGTTCTCAGCAGGACCTGCATGTGGCTGTCCCATCCCCTTTACCCACTGTCCCCTCTTCTCTTTAGCATCCCTTCCCCTCTTGTTGATATTGCTTCTAAACCCCCTTAGCCTGCAGCTTCTCTATACTCAAACTCAAATGCTCAAACTCAGTGCCACCAAGTGGGAACCAACTCATAGCTGACTCTCAGAGGCTCTAAATCATACAGGAGAACACTGCCCATCTTTCTCCTGCAGAGCGGCTGGTGGATTTGAACTGCTTGCCTTTGGATTGATAATACAACCCCTTACCCTCGAGGCCCCCGGAGCTCCTCTCTTAGTTCCCTCTACGTCTTGCCTCTCTCCCTCCCTGCAGTCTCTTCCCTCCTCTTTGCTCTCTCATCTCCTCTCCTCTCCTCTCCTCTCCTCT